CACACACACACACACACACACACAAACGTGTTCGCGTGCACACATATGCACACATATTTACACTGCCCATGTTTTTCTTTTCCGCCTAAGACAACTTCGCGTAAAAACCTGGTAAAAAAGTGCCGAAAATTAGAGGTATTACAAGAAAGTAAAAAAGACCCTTCTTTTACCATGTAACGATTTTTTCTCTATAATTTGTGAGTCTAAGATCAACCCTTCTAAAAGTAGTAATCTGCCTAAGAACCCGATTTGAATTCAGGGATATAACTCGCTGAGTTGTAAATTTACTACATGCACTTTGTGTGAATTTGAGAGAAGGGAGAGGGATTGGTGTGAACTGGCGGGGGATGAAATATACACACTGCAAGCACATTTTCACACAAAGTTTTATTGGAGGTTTTTTTAGACCAATCACCTTGTGGTTTTCGATAGGTAACATCCCTTGCCTCCTTTGCGTGGTCAAAGTGTCTTAGTCTCTTGCAAAGGCAGAATTATTCACTGTCATTCTTTCCATTCACTTAGTTCAGTTTTAGTGAGAGATTTAAGACACTTGCAACACAATAAGTTCATGTAAGTGCCGAAGATTAGAGGTGTTACAAGAGAGTAACAAACACAAAAAGGAGGAGAAATCAGGAAGATAAGGTATTTAAATTGCAGCTGCGCGACTACTGTTTCATACTTATGGTATGCTATCAAATCACAAAGACAATATTGCATCATATAAATCTTTTCTTAAGCTTGCGGCCGTCACTCACACCCAGACCCGAACAATGAACATCACTCAGACATGCAGACAAGACACACATATTTAATCTTTTTTTTAAAGCAAGCTTCTCTATCTTCTCTCCGGCGCCAATATCGCCTCAATGGGGTCATGATTTGGTCATTAAAGAATAAACAAAGGAGGTTAACACGTAGAAGCTGAGTTATGCCACTTGAAAATCCGCGTAAGAACTCGGTCCACCTATGAACCTTCTTTATCTGTCTCTTGATGACCGAGTTTGGGTTAAGCGGAGATGGCTCGTGCGCGCAGGAGTGTGTGTGTGTGTGTGTGTGTGTGTGTGTGTGTGTGTG